GCATAACAACGTGCAAATACAAATATACACATACCTCCACTAACACATAATCATACGCAAACATGAACAAACACGGCGAACCAACTATATGAACGAACATGATTGACGCACAAGGTGAACGAATAAAATAAACGAACAAAATGAACAAACTAACAAACAGACAGACAAAAAAATATAAATTGTTCTTTACAAATCTGAACATAACCACAATGAGATTTCAATGTTAATTCAAATGAAAATATTCCTCAAGACTATATACAATCAAACAAATATATATCAGCAAGCGTATGGTATACATACACATATGAACACAAATACGCATAGGCACACACACACACACACACACACCTACAAACACACGCACTTGCACACAGACACGCACACAGACAAACACTCTCACATGTTCACATTATGCAGTGAATTGCGACAGGCTTGCCGTTTTGCTATCGATACACCTTTTCAAAATTAAGAGCCGGTGATGATGATGATGATGATGACGCCTCCGATTGAAGTTATGATAATGATGACATACGTTTTCGATGATGATGATGATGACGACGACGATGGCAACTATGATGATGATGGTCATAATGATGACGGTAATCATCATCATCAAGTTTATATTTACGATATTTTGTTATTATAAAAATCAAGGTTGCGATAAAATGGCGACGACGAAATTGACGGTTTTGATAATGATGATGTTGATGATGATGACGATAATGATGATTATAGTGATGATAAGTAGGCAGTGATGGTTATGATGTGATAAGCTAGAGTGATGACGATGTTGATAATTAAGAAATGATAATTTGATGCTGATAATATTACATTAATAAATTTATTGACGATAATTTATACATGATAATTGATTGATGATAATTTATACATAAACAACAACAAAACAATAAGTTTTGTTGTTGTTTATGATGATGATGATGACGACGATGTGTTGGTTAAAGGATAATGATAATGTGCTATCAAATTTAGCTTTTTATAACTATCATAGTCATCGTCACCATCTTCACAAACGTCATCGTCTTCCTCCTTGTCGTCGTCATCATCATCATAATTGTGACGTCACTTCAGACATATAGTGACGTCAGCAAGTACAATTTTCTCATCGTAAGATGACATTCTGCCTCTGATAGCGTTTGATAACATCATCATTCGCACATGCTGCTGATGGAGCGAGAGATAGGAAGAAGAAAGAAACATATCAAGATAATGACAAACAGAGAGAGAGAGAGAGGAAAGAGAGAGAGAGAGAGAGAGAGAGAGAGAGAAAAGGGAGAGAGAGAAAAGTTAAAATAAAAAAACATTCCATATTTTCTATATATGTAAATATTATTTATTGTTATTTCAATAGCATCAACGCTATCACCTTGATTAGTTTTATTTTTTGTCACTATTCTCATAATCATTATCAGCATCATCGAAACAACAACAACACCATCATCAGCATCACTGCCACCACCATCGTTATCATCATCGTGATATTTTTAATAACGTCTTCGTCATCGTCAGCACCACCCACTC